GGAGAGAAAAGAAATCTGTCTTCAACAGCCCAGGCCAGCCTGTCTTTGCCTTCTTCCTTCCTTTCTTCCCTCCCTTCCTGCTTTGTAACCTAAAAAGTCAATTTTCAGGGGACCTTAATCTGAAGCAACTTTTGAGTACATGCTAACCCTAACTGGCACACAACCCCGTGCCAAGGCAGAAGATATACCGACTCACTTGTGAAGCAGCAGTGTTTGGGGTGCCAGCTTACAAGTTCCACCAGAGAGCTCTCAGAACAATCCGGTTCCATCTCCCACGGACTTTGAGTCTCAGCCAGGGAATGCAGAATTCTGAAGCTATTGGTCATCTCTAACACAAACCACTGTTGTGGTACCAGGGCCTTGAACTTAATTCCTGTTACATAAAAACGTCCTTCAGCGGTTTCTAGCGATCCTCCCTAGTCTCCTAATAAAGGGTTTTAAGTAACTGTTGACATGATTCATTCTGATTTCTATAAGGTTTGATGAACTCCCGTTCCCTTTTCCTGACTTAGACCCACTTTAGATTTAGTGAGTTGTGCAATTTAGAATCAAATGTCAATAAGAACATATTGAGGGGGAGGGGGAGTTGGGGGAAAATGTATAGCACGTTCCTATCCAAACAATTAAAATGAGAAAAGAAGGAGAAGAAGGAGAAGGAGGAGGAGAAGAAAAGGGGAAGGAGGAGGAGGAGAAGGGGAAGAGGAAGAGGAAGAGGAAGAAGAGAAGACTGTACTGAGGACAGAGTCAGCTGTGGGTCAGAAACAGGGAGGTGACATTGGAAAAAAGCAAGGACTTCAGACTAATTGACTTCATTATTTTCTGTATTTTCCATATCTTGGAGAGTGCCCTCCCATATCCAGCCAATTCCTAGAGAGTGCAAAGGACTTCCCTTTGAGATGCCAAAGCAATCCAGAGCCAACAACCCCTGCCATCAAGTCAATGTTCTTACACTAAATCACCAGAGCCAGGTGGGAACAGGGATTAGCACCACGGGCTACTCTACTCTACTCTACTGGCGAGTCCTTGACTTGAACCTGATAAAGGCTCTGGCTCAGGCCCAGCCAGTATGCTTTCTAGCCACTGACTTCTTCCCTGCGAGGCCCCGTGTGCCTGGCTGTGCCCTGCCTCCTGTTTCTTTGTGCAGAAACGCCATGACAACCGTTTCTCCTACGTCTGCTATTTGATTCTACTTGAAGCATATTTCTAGTGCATTATAACACATCCAGAGGAAATGAAGCCGCTACAATTAGCAAAAAGGGACTATAGAATGACCCGGGATGCTGTCTGCCCAGGCCTTCATTGACCTGTGGTGATCTAGTGGGCAGTGAGGTTCTAGAAACCCCAGGCCAGCGGCTCCCAGAGTGGGATCCTGGGACCCTTGTAGGCGTCGCATCACTACACACGCTTAGAAATGGAAGCCTTGGGCCCTACTCTAGGCTTCACCTCAGGAATTCGGAGTGGGGCTTGGAAAATTGCTGCCCATGTTGTTCAGGCGATGAGGATGCTCAAGTCTGACGTGGTTAGAGAAGTAGGCGTGGGTCCAGCCACAGCAGGCTGTCAGCCATGACAAGGAGTGTGGCTTTGTTTCAGGTGTGAAGGAAGTTACAGGAAGAATTTAACAGGTTTTGGCTGCCGCAAGCTATGCGGTGAGGAGCTGGCTTTCCCGAGGGGTCTCCTGCAGCAGCAGAGGGGACACTTGGTTCTGGGGAGTGGAGGTGAGCAGAACCAGCGCAGTAGCAATGGCACAGGTAAGCCTGCATTTCAGCCCCTCCTGTAGCAGCGGCCTGGACCATGAGGCAGCTACCGTCAGCAACTCTAAGCCCCAGTGTCTTCAGCCTGCTGTCATCTCAGCCACACATTCACAGGGCCAGGGCATTTCTGTAATCTGGGATATAGGATAGAGACACCAGCTTCAGGGCTCCGAGACTCCTTCTCAGTGAAAATCTCCACTAACCCCACAGTACCTCTCTGATAGCTGGTGTGACTGAGAGGGACAGATCTGTGGTTCCTCGAGGAGTCAGGTTAGCAATTCTGAAACGTAACAAAACGGGCACATTTGAGGCTCTGTAGGACAAAAGATCTGAGGGGCTGGAGAGATGGCTCAGGGGTTAAGAACATTGGCTGTTCTTGCATAGGACCTGGGTTTGATTCTTAGCGTGCACAGGATAGCTCACAACCATCTATAAGTCCAGTTCCAGGGGAGCCAATACCATCTTCTGGTCTCCATGGGCACCAGGCACACACGTACACAGACATTCACGCAGGCCCAACACCCATGTACATAAATAAACAACAAAGCCCAGGGATCGCCAGTACCCACACCAGTTCAACGCAAGTTTTTAGGGTGAAGGCTCTCCTCAGAAAGCTGTAGTTTCACAAGTTTCTTATGATAGCCCACATGCTGCATGTCTCCGCTACTCAGAAGGCAGAGGCAGGAAGGTTGTTCAAGCCGCAAGTTGAGTCCCTGTCTCTAAATCGGGGAGGTAGGTAGGTCAGAGCCTCACCCAACTTTCAGTTTATAGGAAAAACAAAGACCAGAGGACCGTGCCAAATGGATGTAATTGGCAAATGTGACAATTTGGAAAATTCCCAATGAATTACAAGGACCTGATGGGACCCATCCATACATGAAGCCGCAGCAACCACCCGCAATATAGAGCGCCTTACTAAATGATCATGTCTGGGGCAGGCAAAAAGCACCAGTCCTGCCATTTTGATGTCAGCCTCCATTTTACCTGCAGGGTGAAGCACAGTTCAAGTTGGCAGGCCCTGGGGGAGCTGGGAACCTTCCACCTCCTCCTAAACCACAGCAACAGTCGTTTGGCATCTCTAGTTCTCGATTACAGCTATTTCTAACAGCGGAAGGAACAAACGAATCCATTGTGTCGGCTGGCAATGAGGGAACTGAACATTCAAGCCCCTAATCTCTTAAGTCCCGATTGGTGAAAATTTTAACTGTAACTTGGCAACAAATGTTTGTGATTTTGTGCTTAAATACTTGCTTCAGCTGGCATTCAGGGCAGCGGTTCAGCTCGGTTCTGTGGCCCTGATCAACCAGCCCCCTCCCCTCGCTCACGCCCTTTGTGCTGCTTGGCATTAAATCTTGCCTTGCGGTGTCCTCTGGTGTTTGCTTGGGTTGACTCGGAGCCTTGGGCCACTCCATCAATTACAAACTCCATCAATTACAAACAGTAACTCCATCAATTACAAAAAAAAATTGGGCAATCAGGGAAAATTGCATCTGACAATTTAGGGTAATTAAAAGATATTGTAAGGCCTGACATGTGACTCATACCTATAATCCCAGCGCATAGAGGACTGAGGCAGGAGGATTGCTGGAAGTTTGAGTCTTGTTTGCTACATAGTTAAGTCCCATGCCAGATGGTACAGAGATCCTGTCTCAAAATCCAGGAAGCCTGTGAGCTCTTTTAGATGCCTTGACAGGGTTTTTTTTTTTAATTTTTTTTGTTTTTTTTTTTTTTTTTTTTTTTTTTTTTTTTTTTTTTTTTTAAATAAAGGCCCTGATCTATGAGATGTGTGCTTAAATATGGATGAGCTTCATGGCTGTAACTGTTTTACCATTAGTTTTCAGTGTAGCTATTCAAATTCTCTGCACATGCTAGGTAAGGATTTTGCTGAGCTGATCCCCACCCTGTGATTTGCTTCCACTTTGAAGACGATTTACTCTGTATCTAACCAATCTGTGTGTTCTGTTCCACACTGCTCAGTGTTGCTGTAGGAGGCCGCTTGTTTTGTTCCGGATTCTTAGCACCAAAATAATCACACAGAAACCATATTATTTGTAATACTGTTTGGTCAATAGCTTAAGCATATTTCTGGCTAACTCATATCTTTTAAATTAACTTATCTCCATTAATCTGTGTATTGCCACAAGGTTATGGCTTACTGGGTAAAGTTCTGGTGTTTGTCTCCAGCAGAGCTCCATGGCTTCTCCTGACTCTGCCTTCTTTCTCCCAGCATTCAGTTTAGTTTTCCCCATCTACCTCTGTTCTGCCCTGCCAGGCCCAAGACAGATTCTTTATTAACCAATAAGAATTCACAGCATAAAGAGGGGAATCCCATATCACAGTGTGGTGACATTTGTCATTGGACACTGGTTAAAAGACAGCTGGGCAGCCACACTTTCCCTCAATGTGAACAGTAGTAAAAGAGCAAACTGCCCGTGCCCACTATAGCCCAGAGGAGGAAGCATGGAGTGAGAAAGCCTTGCGCTTCCACCAGCTCCCACCGCTCTGGGGCAGGAACGTATTTCGTTTTCACCTTTTATTTATTTATTTCACCACGTTGCCTGGGCTGGTCTTGAACTCTTGGACTCAAATGCTGCTCCTCCTTCAGCCTCCCCAGTAGTTAGGACCATAATACACTGCTGTACCCAGCTGTTCCACTGAGTGTTGGCTTGAGAGAGTCTCAGGTACCCAAGGCTGGCCCTGAACTCGATCCTCCCACTTTTTCCTCCCAAGTGCTGGGATCACAGGTGTGAATTACCATACAGGTTTTGTTTTATTGTTTAAAGCAGATGGAACTCAGCTCTATGCGGGTGCTCCTCTCACAGTCCAAGAGAGAAGGAGATGCTGTCTGCTCACAGCCACATGGCTGACTGGTGGCAGTCTGGCATGGATGGGACTCTCGGGATCCAGTGCAGACCCCCTGACAAGCTGCCTTGGCATTTGTTCAGCTGTGTGTTAAAGCTTCATGCACATGGCCCTAGCTGTTCCAGACAGGGAGCCCTATTCACTTTAGGAATCTCGAGGAAAACTGACCCCAAAGTGGAGAAAACATTACAGACTTCTGCCAGAGTAATAAGAGAAGAAAGAATAAATCCAATAAGTGAATGCTGATTCTAGGCAGTATAAACTGTTTTAGGAGATTACCATAATCCCGTAGTGACCAACAGGCAGGGGAAGGGAAGCATTGGTGCTAACTCATGCCAAGTACAACTTTCTAACTATTCTCCCCATGGCAAGAAAAAAAGCTATGAGTAGTTTTGATTTCTAAAAGCCAAATTTAATAAATTAACAACTGCATGCCAGGTAAAAATATAACTTTACAGCTGAAAACCAATAATTTAACAGAAAATGCGGTGTGGTGCACTTGTACTGGTAGGGTAGCTTACTGAAGTGGCAGACCCGCAGACATCCTGCTTTGCTGGAGAGAAAGCACTATGGTAGAGGAGAGAGCTGGGGAGGAACCAAGTGTGGGGTGGGTAGATGGCAGGGCGCTGCCTATGCGTGTGTGCGCGAGTGTGCAAGCGTCTGAAACCGATGGCATGGACCCCAAAGGCAAAGTCATGACAGTTTACTCTGGGCAGCATGCTGGGTGACAGGCACAGGAAACCCAGGACAGAGAGGCGGTGCAGGTTCAAGTCTGAGATTCCTTGATGTGGGGTTTCCTCACCAAACAGGGGGTCATGCAGGAGCTTGAGTTTCTCTTAACATGATAAACACCCAGGACTTCCAGACGGGAAAGCGTGTGTTTCGGTTTTACAGGGACAGCTGAGTGGTGCTACAGAAATGACAAGAAGTTCCTTCATTCAATCTGGTTGTTTGGCCAAACCTTTAACCAAGAAACAATTCAGCTAGCGAAGCTAATTAAATTACTAGAAAACATTCCTTCATCTGTAAAACATTTCTTTTTTCCTCAAATCAAAACTCTAAAATAAAATGTCTTCATTTTTGATCAGCAGCTCCACCACCAGTCTCTGATAGCGTATGTCGTTGAGGGCGGCCATCGGGTCTAGTTCTGGGGATCTCATGAGGGTTGGCCCAAACACGATCCCAAGGTTCTCTGCACTCATCAGGTTCTCCTTCTCGTGAAGGGTCACTCTGAAAACACAGGGAAGGACAGATGACTTCAGTGACGCAGGGGCTCCAGCAATCTGAGCACCCAGATGAAAGCCAGAGTCACGTCCAGGCCTGTGGCTACTGGCCAGCTCTCCCAGGCTGCTTTCCTGTGCTTCACAGAAGCTTCAAGGAATGCGACTTCTTTTGAAGTAGGTCATGTTGATAAAGATTTTAAAGTCCGTGTGGGTTCAGATACTTGAGGGGGAAGGAGAAGAGGTCTGCCCTCCCCTTCCTTGGCTCTCTGGCTCCCCTTGGGCCTTTCTGCAAAGTGAGACTGAGTATCTGGGAGAGCAGCTGTGGGGGCAGGGAGGAGTGGCCTACAGTCAGGACAGTCTCGGGTCTGTCTCTCTTCCTAGTACCCTACAGCATCAGAACAGACCATCTTAGAGAGTGATTCTTATTATAGAACACAGAACTAAAGCCAAATATGAAGCCGACTTTAACTGACAATGGCATGAGTTGTGAGCACACCCAAAGGAAGCATGAACTCACTCATGGCGCCTTTAAGTGGGAAAGAGCTGGGCATGGCGGCACACACCTTTAATCCCAGCACTACAGAGGTGAGGCAGGGGGGTCTCTGTGAGGCAGAGATGAACCTGGCCTATATAGTAAGTCACGGGTCAGCCAGAGTCACATAGCAAGACACTGTCTCAAAATCAAAGACAAGAAGGAAGAGGAGGAAGAAAAGAACAGGGCGGGTATCCACGAGTGTCTGAAATGCACATGTGCTTCTGGACAATGCATGCTTTGGGGCATTTAGAATTTGCGTTTCTAATTGAGTTTGAGGCCCTAAATCTGCTGACGTCATATAACTGTGAAATTTTTGTTTCAGCTGGTAGAGATTGATCACCATCAATCATAAAATAGCTTAAAACTCTTAAGGGGAAGCATTCCTCCCGACTCCATCACTGTGTGCCACTTTCCGGTGTTGGTAAGGGCAGTAAAGTAGTCTAAAATCCCATTCCAAGCTTGAAGTGCTTACTTGGAGCGATAAGCTAAGAATAAAGTGAGCTGCCCCACAAACTGACGGCAGCAGCCCTCTCCTCCTCCAAAACACTCACCAGTGTCTGCAGAACACGAGCACCCTTACAAGCAGGCCCCAGAAGGGCAGGGCATGGATGCAGGGCACTGCAGGGTATTTTTAGCACCTTTACCAACTAATGCAATTCCTCACAAGACAATGCCGCTATGCACCTACGCGTTCACTCATGAGAACATGTCCTCTCTTTCACCTTTTACTTAATTTTATTCTTGAGATTTGGCTATAATACAGCAGTAAGCTACAGGCTGCACTTGCCTCTTCAGATGGGCCATGAGGTACCGGAGGGTCTCGCAGTGGGCAGGCGGCAGCTGTCTCAGTGCTTCATGAAGGGTCTCCAACTGCTCGTCAGGGTCCATGATTTCTACAATAGCAAGGAGATATGCGCTAGTGGAAAACAGATGGGAATGCTTATGGAACACTCTTCCATGCTTTTGTAAAGCAAGCAAAAATGATTTCTCACAGAACAAAAACAACTGTCCAATGCCATCCTAGGTTCAATGCGGGAGCAGGGTTGCTTTTCCCACCTGCAGGTCTTGGGTGCAGCAACTGAGGAAATGGACACACTAGAGATCTGGACTGTAACTGACAAATCCAGACACATGGACACTCACAGAGAAAGCCCGTACACTCTAATGAGTTCATCTGAGAACATTATAGACTTACATATTGCTCAAAATATTTGTATACCATAGTATACAAGACAAGCTAATCCACGGCCTCTTGTGACTCCTGGCAAAATCTTATTGATAATCTTTTCTTCTTTTTTTTTATAGTGACACTGTTTTGCTTTGCAGTGGTATGGGCAGAACCCATGCCTCATAAATACTAGGCAAGTTCTCTACCACATAGTAATACCCCAGCCCTTCATTTTTCTAAGCCAAGAAATAGCTCACCTAACATTTGTTTGCTGTAGTTATTATATTGTGTGTTAAGTCAAAGCATGAGGACTCCCCAATTCTGAGACTGTGTTCTGAAGAACACACGGCAGGCAGCTCTTAAGTGTGCTGTGCCACGGTGGGGTACTAGGAGAAGGGGGTTCTTCCAAAGGAGTCCACCTGGAAGGGAAGACCTCCGTCTGGACCTCAGATCTGCACTGAGGGCTCACACACCAGGCTGTTACTGTGGCAACTCTGCTCGATCTATCAATCACACCTGTAACACCAACAGCTGAAGCTGTTGCAACCCTGTGCTCTTGAAGAAGCACCATAGCGCATTCTCACTCTGCTTACAAGGAGTGCTGTAAACGCTGCTCTCAGCCCAACCACACAAGGCCTTGCACTGGAGTCCTTCAAGTGCTGGGAAGGTTCCACCTGCCCAGAGCCTTCTGTCTGTTTCAGATGGACAGCTCAACTCTGGTCTCGCTTGTACCCACAGCTCAGCTGGAGGACAACGTGTACCGTGTACACCATGTACACTCTGTACACTGGGCCCAATAAAGGCCAGGGAAGAACAAAGGCTGAGCTTCGAGTGCGGCAAAGCAGGCCAGATGATTCTCAAAGTGTGATAGTGACGGAAGCTTTTTAGTTCAAAAGAACTTTTGACTGCTTCGCAGCTTTGGTCCAAAGCTTCCTCCATCCCTGCTTCATTTCTTTATAACAAAGAATAATGTGTTCTTTGCCTTTTGTCATGATAGATAATGCATGACTTCCAAATCGTGGGGACTTTAAAGGGTATCTGTTCATAACACAGCTATTTTCTCAGACACTGAAATTCAGTAATTGAATTTCTAGAATAAAGAAAAGGAAATTCTGTTTACTGTGGAAAGCTAGCTCTTAGTATAGGGCTAAATTAATTTGAAACTACATGATTTCAGAAATTAAAAGCAGATTTTCCTTTTTAATTTCTACAATTCATCTCGACTAGGAGAAGCTTGAGACAGTGGGAGGCTGCAGAGAGCACTGGTGTGCTAGCTCAGGGAGCTTAGCTCCTCCTGGAGGGGTGGACAGTAAAGACCGAGGCCAGCTTTGCTGCACAGACTCCACAAGGTATGGTAAGACAGCCCAAAGGATGCAAGCACTTGGACTTTAAAGGTCAGGAAAAAGCTCACTGTGAAGGAAAGGTCTTGAGTACAGCCTCAGAGTGAAGGAACGAGCTGAGGAGGGAAGAGGGTCCCAGCTGAACTGAGCTGAGAGCACATGCTGGTAAGACTGAGGGGAAGTGGGGCAGATGCGGCTGCAGATGAGAAGGACGGGGTGATGTCAGAGGAAAACACTTTTCCTCATGTCAGCTGGGGGCAACTCAACTCTGAAGATTTACGGAGAGGATTGGGAAGGCTATGAACCAAGTTGGGCTGTAACCTGATGTTCATTTAAACATGCTATTTATTTAGGCACTTATTTATTTGTGTGAGTACGCATGGCATGTGTGTGGAGGTGAGTTCTCTCTACCACAGGGGCATGTGGTGGCAAGTGTGTTTACCCGCTGACCCCGCACACTGGCACGAACATTCATCTTCTATGGTTCCCTTCCTCTAGGTGCCATGCAGAGCGCAAACTACAGAAGGCACGAGTAACGGCAGGAAGACCATTCCAGCAGCTAACACAGAGCCCAGGGGCCGCGACAGTAGTCTGGAGATGACAGCAGTGTGAACGATGAGAGACTGTTTTATTCTGAGTATATTTCGAAGGTAGAGCCCATGAGAGTTCCCGATGGGGAATGTGTAAAAAAAACCTGAGAACACGGAATAATCAAGGTTTGGATGCAGACAGTTGGGAGGGAGGGCGGTCTGGGGGATAGCGCTATCTGAGATTTTTAGATGGACAAATCAACCTGCTGACCTGGATGAACCTGCTGTTGCAGAAAGAGCACCTTCCCCCTGTATTTCCAACTGGTTCCAGTGGGAACATGGTAAAATGTACTGAATACCTGACTGAAACTGACCAGAGAGTCTCCCCTGGACATAAGCCCCCCCTCCCCCTCCCCCGTTCTCCCATGCACACAAGTATTGCCCATCGTCAATTTTCTAGAGAACGAAACTTTTAGTCCCAAGACTGTTACGGCGTAATTTAAGAGGTAAGCAGGAACAATGGAAGGTGTTTAGAGACAACTGGGTATCATCAGATTAGCGGTCATCAAATACAGACAGTCCGGCATGTGGGGGACGGGAGGGCATCACGGCGGGCAGGTTTCTCTAGACACAAGTGGGTTTCGTGATTGTCACACCTGTCCACCATCAGTGGCCTGGCTGTCTACAGAAAAGCAGCAAGAGCGCAGGTACTGGTGGTTTCAAGACAAGACTGAAGCCGGGCAATGGCCTTTAATCCCAGTACTCAGGAAGCAGAGGAAGATAAATCTGAGTTGGGGATCCGCCAGAGTGAGTTCCAGGACAGCCAGGGCCATACAGAGAAACCCTGACTCAACATACAAACAAACCAAAACCAAAACCAGGACAACCAACCAACACAACCTCCAAACAATGAATTAAAGGAAAAAGTCTAGCTATATAATTGCTTAGAATATTTATTTAGTGACTTAAGTCTGTGCATCTCCAGGTAAAATTCCAAGCTTAATAGTCAACAAATATGTAACACCTAACTATTACTGAAATGAGGGACTACTCAGGCCCTGAGGAAAATAACACCTGAGGTGGCAATTATGTCCTGAAGGGATGCCAGTGCAGCAAGAAAACCAAGTCATGGCCACCCTCTGCCCCACAACAGGAATGAGGCCCAGGGTGGGGATGTAACGAAAAGAGAAGGAATGCACGGCTGAGGGCTGGGGAAGGACCAGGAAAGATGGTCCAGGAAAGCATGGATACTGAGGGCTAGGAAGTAAACACTCGGGGCCTGGGTCAAGAGCTAATTAAGGTGCACCTGGAGCATGTACTGTTAATTCTCTATAGAGAAGTCCAGTAGAGAAGACCCAGAAAGTTCTCCCTGCCAGGCTCATCCAAGGCTGCACACTTAGGAAGAGATGTGACTGTCTAAGATCTGGAAAATAAGTGATCCGGCTCCTGGGCTGGGGACAGTCCCCACATGGTTTTCACCATGATTACAGAGTGCTCACGGATGCTGGCTTCTGACAAGACCCTGCCTCTGGGCCTCTGTTCTAGAGCAACAGTCTCCACTGGGGAACAGAGGAAGAAGGGGTGGCAGCCTCAGACTTCAGGGCTCCAGAGGCTGTGCAGTCTGCAGGGTGATCTGGCTCCGCACAGCAGCATCCATCTCCTGCCCTCAGCCTCTCTCGTCAGCTGTGGGAGTTGGGGGAAAGCTGCTACAGCACAGCTCCGCTAGATTTTGAGAAAAAAGCTTTAACCTAACTGATTTCTGCTGTGAAGGCATGGAAAACAATACCAGAGATTTCTGGGGGGTGGAAACTGAGATGTTTTAAAGGTAAAGAGTTGACTACATTAGCAAGTGTCACCTAATCCTGTCCATCACTTGAAGGGGGTCTCTCCACCGTCATAGGTCTTCTCCTGGTTCCTGCAGAAGCTAGGCAGGGTGCAGAGTGAACAGAACAAGGACCTCAATGAAAGGAGGACAAACAGGTTGGGGTGCAGGACCACTTCTAGCAACATGACCTTGGCTAGTAGCAGGCAGCTCAGTTATAGCTCTGTAATTGCCAAGGCCTTTGCTCCTCCTTCTGTGTTTTTTGAGGGATGCCTGAATTAGACACTAAAGCAAGAAGCTGACTCCAGTGGGAAAGGACACTATGTTCACTGCCATCAGCATCACACAGGAACCATACATGTACAGGAAGCACGGGAGGGTACCAGGGGCTTTGGTGTCACACAAATCACTTACCAGTTTAGATTATAAAGGAGACATTTTTTTCTCTCCATTTGGGGGAAAAGGGGATTTTCTGATTTCAGAAAGGAAGGTTTCTGAAACAAACCCCACAGCAATGGCAATTGGTTTGGAAGAGAAACAAAGGGAAAGGTGTTCCCAGGCAGTCAAGGTGGGTGGGAGAGAAGGTAAGAGAACATGGAGCCCAAAGCCTCAGGATCTGACAAGAGGCTTGGGTGTTTCCAGTTTGGGTGTGAGGTTCAGAGCCAGGCTGGGTGAGTAGCCCTCCACAGGGGACATGCTTCCAGTCGGGGGCCACAGCTGAGGGCTGCCTGCAAACTCCCTGGACAACCACGGCCAGCACCAAGTCCACCCTAAGATGGGGCAGTTGTGCCACCCACATCTTCTAACTTCTGGTCAGACTGTCTCAAGCTGGACTGAGAACAAAGGGTACCACAGCTCTGTGAAAGTCCACGTGAAGAAGCAAAGCAGAGGAATCACTACATCACTAAGCAGAGGAATCACTACATCACTAAGCAGAGGAATCACTACATCACTAAGGAAGTGATGCTATTATTTAAAGGGAGGCCATATGGGTTTACAGACAGAAGCAAAATGACAGGAATAGACTATCTTTTCTTAAAAAAAAAGTGATGTCAATACCTAAAATCTGTTAAGATTTCCCTTCTTTAAAGGGTAAGATGTGAATTTCAGGTATGAATTTTGAAACACAATTTTGCAAATGAGCCATTTTCTTCTCAACTAGAATTAAAAAAGGAAAAACCAAAACTCTGCCTGAGGCCTGAGTTCCGTTTCTTAATTCTGAAAACAAAGCAAAACCAAACAAACTCCTCGATGATGCAGAGCCATCTTCCCGGGAGCACACACTGATGAGCCACAGGTCGTCTGTGAGCTCTGAGGGCCTGCACACTCAGGGTAAGTACCGAAACTGACCGTATGTTTGCTGAATCAAACAAGACTGTAGTCTTGTTCCGACCTTGGGTTTATTTTACTGGACGCCGGTCAACATCCAAGCAGAATGGTACAGATTATTTTGGAAAAGCAGCAGAGTACAAAACTAATGGTAGAAGGCATGGATAATCTGGGCTAGAGAAATATGTCTTGCAGACACATGGACTGGAGCGTGGAGAGAGCTGCAGGGGATGAAGGACAGGAAAAGTGGTTACTGGGGAGAGGCAGCGTACTGGGTGGGGGACTCACATGTTTGTACTTACTGGCAGACTCTATGAACTTGGGGTAGGCATCATACGTGATGAGAGGAATTGGCAGATCCCTGAAGTACAGTTTAAGTGCACCAGTGATAATGTTGATATCTTCATACATGTTCACAGAAATATCTGCCTTTTCACCATCTTTTAAAAGAGAAAAAGTAAACATTGAATTCATAGCAGAATCATTTTAACATGATTTGTGCATGATTAGCTTTTAAAGATACACAACACTTCATAATTAAGTATTTTATCCTAACTGTATAGAAGTTTGCTGGGATGTATACAGTTTAGGACTGGACAAGTGCATGCTTGAGTGGCTAACTTAACCCCTGGCTATGATGTTTTTGTTAGTTAAGTGATTTTTATTTTAAAATAAAACAAAAAATGCATTTCATTACTAGCAACCAACACTCTAGTTTCTAAGGTTGAATTCAGCATGAAACATTATCTATACTAGTGACCCACTTTGGTAAAACGGCAGGTAATTTTTCTCTTCTTAAGCTACTTATTTTTCTTTTTCCTTACTCAGCTGTGCATGTGTGTGTGTGTGTGTGTGTGTGTGAGGAGAGAGAGAGAGAGAGAGAGAGAGAGAGAGAGAGAGAGAGAGGGGGGGGGGGGGGGGGGGGGGGGGGAGAGAGGGAGGTGGAAATAACTTTACATTTCATAGTTGCCTGAGAATTCCCAGGGCAATAATGCAGTGTTGCCTTCTTTTCTGTTTTAAAGAAGTACACTGCGCAAAAGAGAACACGGGCCAGGCCTGCCGACCCGAGTTTGTTCCCCAGGAACCAAATGATGGAAGGCAAGAGTGCACTCTTTTCAGTTGTCTGTGACCTCCACACAGGTACCACCCCTAATACATGCAATGCCGATGATAAAGGTACCTTGTTTTATCCACACCTGGCTTCACAGAAATAACATCTGGATCTTGCCTAACCAAGTCCTATGAGTAAACGAGGCAGTGAAAAAGAAAAAACCTAAAATGCTCCACATTTTAAATAAAATGCCCCAGAAAATGCGCCAAGGTTCTGAGTGTTGAAGCAAGAGGAGAGGCACTATAGAATGGGAGACCACTGACAGGCGTTAGGCACTCAGATTCTGAAGCAAGGCTGTCTTCAGAGAGTCCTCCTGTGCTGTCCTGTGTTTAATAACATCTGAACTTGTAGGCAAGATGGCTCGGTAGTTAATAGCACTGGCTGCTCTTCCAGAGGACCTGGGTTAAATTCCTAGTACCCACATGGCAGCTCACAACTGTCTGTAACTCCAGTTCCAAGGGATCTGGCACCCTCACAGGCAAAACATCAATGAATATAAATTAAAAATAAAAAATCTCAACTTTTATCTATTCAAGATTTAATTAGTATCATTTCCTTGATATCTATATTTGTATGTGTCTGCATACCTATGTGTGTGCACAGGGGAACAGATTTAACAGTGAAAAGAATGTTAGTAAATTACAACACACACAAATGAACCATCAATGCTTGGTGACAGAAGTCAGCCTAAAATGGCTTCGTAACATGCAATTATAACTAGACAGGGTGGAAAGGTTTGTGATTACTGAGTATTTGGGGGAAGAAGGAACACACAGGTAGAGTATGAGGATTTACGTTAGTGACGCTATTCTGCATGGTACTGTGATGTAGACAAAGAAACCAAGTGTAGACTCTGGCTTTTAGTTAATAATGTGCCAATGCTGGGCTATCAGTGATAACAGACACACAACACTAATTCAAGATGCTAAACCAGGCAGGGTAGGGCATGCCTGGATCCCAGTGTGCAAGAGGAGGGGGCAGGAAGGTCAAGAGTTCTAGATGATACAGCTTCATGTTTCTTTCTCACCACGAAATCTGATCCTCTAAGGTGGCTGATGCAAAGACAAGAAACTCTAAGTTGAATTTTGTTTTTGTAGGCTTAGTTTGAGACAGGCTAGGCTCAAATTCATGTGTACTAATCACAGCTTTGAATACCTGCTTCTACCTCTCAAGTCTCGGGATCAAAGGTGTGCTTATCAAAATTGTTTACAGAATATGATAATCACCAGTCCCTTAGAAAATTAATTTAGGAGTAGCCTAAGAGTGTGAGCATCCGAAGTTAACGTCTACGCTGAGAGCATACCTCTGTCGAAAGCCATCTTGACATCTTCAATTAGGTCACTGAATCCCGATACTCGGTACAGCCCTTCAGAACTAAGACCTGAAAACCAAGCAGTAATCATGGAAACGGTGCTGCTGATCTGCGCATTTCCTTCACATTTAACTTCCCTCCATACTTCAAGCTCGACAAGTTATGTATTAGAAAAAATAATAAAACACACATGGTTGGAGGACTTTTCCCACTTTTCTCCTAAAATGAATCTGTTTCACTCAGTTTTTACTTCTGACCTAATGTCACCTGGGTATTTATAATTTGGCCATTATGTCGCCTAATTAGATCAGGTAACATTAAATCTTAAGGGAAATCATCCATCACCCAATTCTATCGCGAAGTCTTTTATATAACAAAAGAACGAGAGCCTGCACCAGCAGGCCTGTGCCAGTTCTCCCAAGTGGGTAAGAATAACTAGGGTGCAGCTCAGTTTCTGGTCTTTTCTGGTATCTTAATAGGGCATTTCTGCCTTTGTTTCCATCTCTGCACAGAGATCTCTGCAGACTGCAGGCATCACCCTAAATGTTACTTTCCATAGCTGGTAACATGCTCCGTGAAGCCAAGCTGTCTGCTTATGTGCACACTGCAGACACACATCTTCTTATGCCCTTCTCCCCCATCACTGGAGACAGCAGCAGTTCCATAACTGGCACCAGAGGGGCGGAGCTTGCGAAGGCTACAGCCGCTGCACCGGAAATGCCTCACCTCTGGATTCGATCTCCCTGATGCACATGTCCACCACCATGGGCCGCTTGGTGGTGTGCGCTTTGACGAGCGTGGTCAGGTCGCAGCTGTACACCTTCTTCACGTGCTTCAGGTCTGGCTTACAGTCGTTGGGGACCATCTTGGAGCACTGCTTGTGAACATTCAACCCACAATCTGTAAAAGGAATAAAGGAAAAAGTTATGATTATTTTCAGTCTGGGCATTCTGGAGTGTTTCTCTGAGCAGAAGACACTGGTGTGAACTGCACCTCCTCCCAGGGAACGTACAGCAGCCCCCTCTCCTCAGAAAAGTTTCATTTGAACCCAGAGGTCAGGATTTTCTTTCTTTTTGAGATAGAGTCTCACAACAAAGCCCTGGCTGACCTGGAACTCTCTAAATAGACCAGGCTGGCCTCCAGATATCTGCCTGTCTCTGCCTCCTGAATTCCAGGACTAAAGGCATGTGTCATCATACCCAAAGAGGCCAGGATTCTTGCTAATAAGAATTCTTGTTAATAAAATTTAAATAACTTCATATTTTAGCTTCCTGAATGGCCCCAGAAGAAGCAAAAATAAAATCAAGACAGATTCCCCACACCCAAATCAGTAAGTGTTCCATAATTATTCACAATAGAATGTCAGATCAGCAAGGCTAAGACCTGAGTGTGTTTGCTTTCGTCATAATTCTATGACTTGTTGAAAGGTGTGGCATTTTGGGAGGTGCTGGGCCCTTTTCACAATTAAGTCAGTGTTGCTGTGAAGAGGCCTGTGGGAGAGTTCTCTCTCTTCTGTCATGGAGAATACAGCCAGGAGCTCCTAACGAATGCTGGTACCGTGACCTTTCTACCTCAGAACTCTGGTATCTAATACTTAGTCTCTGTAAACTATCTAGTGGGAAGTTCTTTGATATAGTAGCACAAGATGAATCAGTCAGATATCTCAAGAAAATTTACACCTACTGTAAGTTGTAATCAAATTTCAAATCACTTGATATAAAGCAGAATTAGACACCCAAAATAAGTGTATACAAGGTTTGCTTAAAATAAATCAGTTCCCATTTATATCTATTCACAACACCCCTATTTTTGTTTTGTTTTTCAAAGCCGGTTTCTCTGTTAGTCTTGGCTGTCCTTGAACTCACTCTTAAGACCAGGTTGACCTTGAACTCACTGAGATCTACCTGCCTCTGCCTCCCAAGTGCTGGGATTAAAGGCCTGCACCACCACCACCCAGCCACAAACCTTTTTTACAGGTAAGAGTACATATAATTTCTTGGGTAGTCTAAAATAGCCATTACCATTCTTTTTACTACGAACAGTAGCTAACATTTATGGAAGACTTAGTATTATTACCCACTACCATTAAAAGTGCCTTGTCTTTACTATTTCCTTTAAAACCACAAAAGTATATCAAATAGCTACTGTTTCTTCTCATTTCCTATTTATATCTGAAACAAGGCAAGTTAAGGAATTTGTCCAAGCTACATAGTGGGGCTGGAACTCCACCCGATGGTGACTCTGGAGCCCTCAAGTCTCCATATCGATTATCTCTATTGAAATTACTCCTCTGGCTTTACAGGGCTCTAACATCTTGGGCAGCAGAACCCAAGAACTTCCTGGTTAATATTTGAGGTCCCTTTTCAATAACAAGAGTATAATGAAGTTTTATAATGGATGACGAACAAAAGTGTTCTGCTAAATTAGACTCAAATGATAAAATATACTGAATTATTTAATTCAACTAAAGTAAATGCCATTTTATGTTTTTTTTGTTTGTTTTAATTTTTCGAGACAGGGTTTCTCTGTGTTGCTTTGGAGCCTGTCCTGGAACTAGCTCTTGTAGACCAGGCCGGCCTCAAACTCACAGAGATCTGCCTGCTTCTGCCTCTTGAGTGCTGGGATTAAAGGCATGTGCTACCAACACCTGGCCATCTTTATGTTTTTCAGAATGTTTCGTTGGGGAGCAGTTTATGACAGCTCCTGCTTCTTGTCTTATAATCCCAACATTTCAAGTTTTGAGTTTAAGCTTTCCTGGTTCATGGTAGGATAAGTAATTCTGGACTGTATCTTGGCTCCTGTAAATGTTGTGAGTCAGTACCCACTTAAATCTTCCATTTCAGCAAGTTCTACTTTAAACTTACAATGCCAGGCCTGGCTCACCTTTGAAGATAAAATTAAAATGTTTACCTGGTCTTTAAAACACCTTCCCTCTCTCCCTCTCTCTGTGGACCACATGTGTGCAGGCGGAGGCCAGAAGGCAGCACTGGATACCCTGTATCTGGTCTACGGAGTTACAGGCTATTAAGAGCTGCCCCGTGTGGGTGCTGTGGTGCTGGAACCTGAACTCCTGGAAGAGCGAGAAGTCACTAAACTACTGAACCAATTCTAGAAACTTTCTTTAGTCCAGATCTCCAAGTTTTCTCATGGTTAATACAAATATATTGTTATAACTTAATTTTTTATGTGGTTGTAGGTGTTACAATTATTGAAGAAACAAAGTAAAACGCATATAGCCAGCTGGAAAATTCTTTTAAAGTGTATTAAAAGTCTGAGATTTGGCCAATTTTCATCATTTAGTAGTAGTTTGGCTGTGTCTTGCACTTCATGCACAACCCAGGTCCCAGGGGGGCTTGTGAAGAGCAGCTGAGACAAGCCATCCTCTCAGATGGAGAAAATGAGGCCCCGGTGTGTTCCCGCTACTCGGCTAGAAGAGCTGCGCTGTGACTGGACTGCACAGCGGCCAGCCTGTGCTCTGCTGATCTCCTCACCCCTCCTTCCTGCCCACAGCACACTGCACACGCCAGTACTTCTGTCAGCGCTGACGATGAATTACCTACGTTCAGTCTTTTGATCAGTACTGTGTATCACAGCACCAGGATATATTCTTGAGTGTAAAAGTGTTGCAGTATTTCACCTGTACCAGTCTTGCAATTATCTGTGCTTGATCTTGTAGAACTTTTACAAAGCAGTGATAAAACCTAGATATTATATTCTTGTTTCTTAATTATTTAAATATGAATATTCATAAAACAATGAATAACTATCTTCCAAAATATACATTAACATAGTTCTGTTACCCTTTAACCTACCATTAGAATGTAAATGAATGACGTTGGTCATTCACTTCAAAGCATGGGTCTCTGTGCTTTCTAGAAGTGCAGCATTCATGTACATAGAGAAGTCGGTGCATACAAAGCCAGACAGCCTGAGGTCAGTAGTCTAAGTAACATGTGTGTGAAGAAAATGCAGACTAAAGTGCAATGTGGATTCTTTGTTGCTCTTTTCCTGTCTTGATCACAGTATATTTCTTCTCTTCTTATTTTATTTCCAAGACAGGGTTTCTCTGTGTAACCCTGGCTGTCCTAGAACTTGCTCTCTAGACCAGGCTGGTCTCAAATTCAGAGATTCACCTGCTTCTGCTTCCCGAGTGCTGGGAATTAAAGGTGTGTGCCACCATCGCCCAGCAATGTTGCATATTTCTTATCTTGAGAAACTGGAGGATGAAACACAGTTTAATAACATAGAATTAACCTACAAAACCGAGAGATATAACAAATGACATCTACGGACCTATCTCTCATTTGTGTGTAACATCTTCTGGAGGAACAGAACTGCATATGATTTAAATACGAAAACAAAATAAAGTCTTTTTTTGTTTGTTTGCTTTTGTTTTGTTCTTTCAAGACAGTCTGTGTTGTCTGTGTAGCCCTGGCTGTCCTGGAACTCACTCTGTAGACCAGACTGGTCTTGAACTTACAGAGATCCACCTGCCTCTGCCTCCTGCGTGCTAAGCCTTAGTGGCAGACTGAAATGTGGTGTGCTGCTCGTGCACTGAAATATTCTCAGTGTTTTCAGAGTGTGTTTGGGGAATATAGAAAGATGCTGTAATTTTTGTGCACGGTGTTCCGCCTGCAGGGGCAGGTCAGAGTCTCTGGGACTGGAGTTATAGATAGTTGTAAGTCACCATGTGGAGCACGGGAATTGGGCCTCTAGATGAGCAGCCAATGCTCTTAGCCAATGAGCCATCTCTCCAGCCCTGATGCTGTATTTTAATGCTGTTTCCTTACCACGGCCTTCCAAAGAACTTCATCTCCAATCCTGTTAGAAATTTAGCCTTTGAAGTTAATCCCATACTTTTATATTGTTCAAGTGGGATAAAGAATACTTGTTTAGCAAACATTTCATTGTCTTTAAGTTCTAAATCTGAGCTTCGTCATTATTTGATGTGGTTTTGAGTGAATCACAATTGTATCTAGTAGCTGTCTATTTAAAATGGATGACTGCAGCTGGATGGTGGTGGCACATGCTTTTAATCCCAGCACTTGAGAGGTAGAGACAGGTGAATCTCTATGAGTTCAAGGCCAGCCTGGTCTACAGAGCGAGTTCCAGGACAGCCAGGGCTGTTACACAGAGAAACCCAGTCTCAAAAACCCAAAAGATGACTGCAAACTTTCAAAGGATAAATGTGACCCTGTTGGCACCATACACATGTTTTGATATGTGGAAGCATCAGGGTTTAAGCCTGGGTTTCCATTTTGAGGTTATACATGAGGAAGGATATGAAGAAACATCTCTTTCTTCTTTCTGTAGCACTGATGATGGAACCAGAGCTCCATGTAGGCTGGGCAAATGCCTACCATTGAACTGCATCTGCAGCCAATAAATTTTATTGTTAAATGTACCTCTCTGGTATTTTCCACTATGAAAGATTCTCGTTATTTTTAATTGTGTGTGTCTGTGTATGGGTCTGTACATGTTTCTGCAGGTGCTTGTAGAGGCCAGAGGTGCTGGATGCCCCTGGAACTGGAGTTACAGGTAGTTGTGAGCCCTGACCTAAGTGCTAGGATCTGAACTCAGGTTATGTGTTCTTAACTGCTGAGTCATCTCTTCAGTCCCTTCCCTTATTAAAAGTGAGTATCTCACAGTGAGTATCGAATAACCATCACATATCATTTTCATAAGCAAATTAAGAGAAATGGTTTATGCCTTGGAATATTTATAAAAATATTACTTTCAAACAAAAGCGGCTACATGAAAATTTTAACGGGATTCCTCAAGTTCTCACCGACTAGTAAGGGAAACCACTAGTGCTATGTGTGACCAATTGAGGTGCTAATAAAAACAAAGTTCTTCAAACTAAAAGTTCAATATCTGCATATTTAAAATAACTTCTATTATTAGGAGAGAAACTGCTATTTCTTGTTTGAGGGCAGAAATGACAATAATGATGATGAAAATATTAAGAAATCTTCACAATTTAAACTCAGCTAAAATGTCTGTTTTAAGACAAGTATTATCTTTCCTTTTCTATTGGAATATTCTGGCAAGGCTAAAATAAATACAATTTAGGAATTCTGATAGAATACATTATTTTTGGGAATAACATTTCCTGGAAGAGGAATGTCTGATAAAATTCAGTGATTACATAATAATAACAGAACCTAGAAGTTTACATTTCATGATTTTAAAAAGTGTGGGAAAATTAATCATTTGAGTGTGTGTATGATTTATTTGCTGGCAGGCCTTGCTACAGAATCCAGGCCGGTTTTGAACTCATAACCCTCTGACTGTCTCTAATGTGCTGTACATCACATTCACACAGTTCCCTTTGGGAAAGGGACTATTGCCCCGCCTACTACCGTGACTGTGTGCTCTCTACAGCCTTCACTCTTCAAACTCTGGCTTCGGCCAGATGAGTCCTAGAATCATTTAGATCTAAAATCCTCACTGTCAATACAAATGTTAATTGGTTATCAAAACAGAACTAATGTGAGTCTAAACTTTTCTTTTTCCTTTCAGAAGACTGTCACTGTGTAGCTCTGGCTGACCTGGAACTCACTATGTAGACCAGGCTAGTTTTTTTTTTTTTAAAAAAGAAAACAAACTCTTTTATTTTTCATTTTACATACCAATCCCAGTTTCTATTCCCTCCCCTCCTCCCATTCCCTCCACTTTACCCCTCAGCCCACTCCCATCCACTCCTCAGAGAGAGTAAGGCACATTGCTTTGGGCCCTCCCTACTATATCTAGGCTGAACAAGATCTATGCATCCAAAGAGAATAGGTTCCCAAAAAGCCAGCACAAGCAGTAAGGATAAATCTTGGTGCCACTGCCAGTGGCCCTGCAGTCTGAACCAGCTATACAACTGTCACCCACATTCAGAGGGTCTAGTGTGGTCCTATGCTGGTTCCTTCCTCTCTGGTTGGAGTTGGTGAGCTTCCATTAGCTTAAGTAAACTGTTTCAGTGGGTGTCCCCATCATGGTGTTGACCTCTTTGCTCATATTCTCACTGCTCCCACTCTTCAACTGGACTTTGGGAACTCAGCCCAGCGCTCCACTGCGGGTCTCTGTCTCTGTTTCTATCAGTTGCTGGATGAAGGTTCTATGGTGACATTTAAGATATTCATCAATCTGACTACAGGGCAAGGTCAGTTCGGGCACCCTCTCCTCTGATGCTAAGGGTCTTAGCTGGAGTCATTCTTGTGGAATTCCTCTAGTGCTAAACTTCTTGCTAGCCCCATAATGGCTCTCTCAATCAAAATATCTCTTCCCTCGCTCTTATCTTAAGGAAATGTTACCTAGCCACAAGGGAAGTGCAAATCAAAACGACTCTGAGATACCATCTTACACCAGTCAGAACAGGCTAAGATAAAAAACACCAATGATAGCTTAAGCTGGAGAGGATGTGGAGTAAGGGGAACACTCCTCCATTGCTGGTGGGAATGAAAACTTATACAGTCACTCTGGAAATCAGTGTAGCAGTTTCTCAGAAAACTGGGAATCAACCTACCTCTGGACCCAGCAACACCACTCTTGGGCATAATACCCAAAGGTTGCTCAATCATTCTACAAGAACATTTGTTTAACTATGATCATAGCAGCATTATTTGTAATAGACAGAACCTGGAAACAACCTAGATGTCCCTCAACAGAAGAATGGATAAAGAAAATGTGGTACATTTACACAATGGAGTACAGCTCAGTGGTAAAAAAAAAAATGACATCTTGAAATTGGGGTGCAAATGGACAGAACTAGAAAAAACATCCTGAGTGAGTAAAACCAGACCCAGAAAGATGAACTTGGTATGTACTCACTCATAAGTGGATACTAGCTGTAAAGCAAAGGATAATGAGTCTCTATAATTCATGACCCTAGAGAAATAAGTAACAAGGTGAACCCTAAGAGAAACATACAGATCCACCTAGGAAGGGGAAATAGACAGGACTGCCTAACAAAATTGGGAGCATGGGGGTGGGGGGAGAAGGGAGGGTGGAAGGGGAAGAGAAGAGAGGAGAAGAGGAGTAGGGAGGAGAATTTGAGGAAAAGGGATAGTCAAGATGGAGGAAGGACCAGACTAGTTTTAAACTCAGGTCTCTGTCTTCAGAGTGCTGGGAAGCTACATCTACCAAAGTAGATTCTGTTTATTTAAAAGGAATTGTTTTTATTTTCTGAAGACCATTAATGGTGGATTTGTGGGGTTTCTGTTCCTTTGTTTTTAAGGCAGAGTCTCGTGTAATCTAAGCTTGCCTTGAACTTCCTGTGTAGCTGAGAACGATCCCGAAATCCTGATCTAGCCTGTCCCTCCTGAGTGTTGGAAGTACAAGCCTGCATACTACACTCCATTTTCAAAGAATGTGCACTGGGGAATGCATCATGTGAGACAAACACTGCTGAGTCACACCCCAGCCCTCCTCTGTATTCAAACAAAGGCTAACATGTGCTCCACAGGTAACATTTTAAAGCACAGATGAAAACTCTCCAGACTTTTCTTTTAGCTTCTGCCCTTTACTCATGGGAAGAGAGAGAGGCTATACACGTGGTGCTGGAGGGCAGAGTTAAATCATTTTATTTTTCCTTGCTTATGTTATCACTAAAACAGCTGTTCCAAGGCATTTCTTCCAAATACGACTTGGAACTGTAGCATATTACTGCATATACTTTAGACACAGTGGGGCTGTTTTCTGCTGCTGACTGACAGGATTCTCATGTACATGGTCTTCTCTCTTTCCAAAGGCAAATGGTACAACCATTAATTCATAGAAAACCTTACGTTAGTGACTGTCAAGTGCTAAGAAACTCAGTGTCAGCTGGTCAAGGATGTCTCACAAAAGACAAATGAGGCTGACTGAGACCCTCACTCCTTGAGCAGGAGACCTGCTGTGGAAGGGGTATGTTATCTGCCTTTCAACAACCATGAAAATCAGTGGTTCTCAACCTGTGGGTCAACTTACTCTTTCGTATGGGTTGCACATCAGATATTCGCATTACAATTCATAACAGTAGCAAAATTGCAGTTATGAAGCAGCAACAAAAATAATTTTATAGTTTGGGGTCCCCACAACATGAGGAACCATATTAAAGGGTCACAGCATTAGGAAGGTTGAGAACCACGGGTCTAGATGGTCTTCCTACCACAGTGACCAACACTTTCCAGCCCTGCTGCTGCCCTTTAGTTCAGAGACAATACCACAGTCTTCCAAGGAGGCTTCTTTGTGGACTCTGACACCAGAATCAGAGCTGAGGCACTCCTGGACAGATCATTCTGCACACTTAAGTGCCACTGTGACATGTTATCCTTCTCCCCATGTCAGGGAGCATCCTGAATAGGACTGGCCTGTGACACATGTCTGGAAACTGAGAATTCCTTAGTGATGATCAGATACTACTCACATGCAATACATATTGTGCTTTGTACTCAAAGAAAATGTAACCCAGCAACACACATAAACATGTCTGCATTTAATGCACAACTAAAATACTCAATCTTAAATCAGAAAAGAGAAATTAGGGTAGTTATCATTTTGAAATAATTTACTCTTAATATACTTCAGGAAAAAAAAGCCAGGGTCTTATGTATCTCAGGCTGGCCTTGAACTCACAACTTTGCTACATACAATTTTGAACTTCTGATCTTCCTGCTGTCACCTCCAGTGTGCTAGGATTACATGTGTATGGCACCGGGCCTAGGATTTTGAGGCTGTAGGGACTGAAACAGTCCTTGAGCATGTTAAGCAAGTCCCTACCAACAGTCACATCCCCGGCCCTCTTAGCATACATCTGCGTAAAGCTTTATGCTAAAAGACATGTAAGAAGATATTTTAGTTCAAAAATTAAGTAGTAGAACTTTAATGATCAAGTATAACATATTTAATATTTAGAGAAAATACTACATAATATTTTGCTTACATATATGTCTGTGCACCACATGTGTGCCTGGTGCCCACAGAGTTCAGAAGGTGGCATCAGATCCCCTGGAACTGGAGCTACAGATGGTTTTGAGTCACCATATGGGGTTCTGGGAATTGAACCCAGGTCCTCTGCAAGAGCAACAAGTGCTCTTAGCCACTGAGCCATCTCTCAAGCCTACCACATTGAGTTTTTCTTTATGGGTAAAAGTGTCTAAATGTAGACCGAAAATACCATCATCATTTTTCACAAAAAGATCTGTTACATTGAGCATCTTCATGTATCATAGAGAAAATATAAAAGATCAAGTACTTCTTCAGAACTTGGTAATCATCTTTGAGGATAAATCTGTAGACTTTTTACAGATTTGACTTTGATTTAAAAAATGTAGTTAGGACAATTCAGCTTACCAAGTCAGCTTTAAAATTCAGTTTCCAAGGCAACAATCTTATGTCCTGCTCACTGCTTAAAAAAACCAAAACCACTATAGATGCAGTCAGTACAACACCAAAGGCATGAATAAACCGAAGTGCTTCTGCTTCTGTCTGAAACAAGCTGGCCTCTTCCTTTTCAGGGAATTACACATATCCCTACTGCTCTGCCCACCAAGGGTGAGAAGGTTATGGCCAACACAAGAACAGTCTTCAGTGGCTGCTGGCACACGGGGAGGAGCAGGGGCTCTTACCTGCACATTTCACTCCCTGAGCAATGAGGCCCCACATGAAGTTGGCACAGTATTCACACCAGTGTGGCCCTCGGAACGTATGGACCTGAAAAAAGAATGGGGCAAAGTGGAGAAAGGGGAGACATGAGGAGGCTGTTGTGCATCAATCAAAGGAGGCTTACACAAGCTAGCTGAACTAAAGATGCGCATGCACATTTAGAAAACCCATCGAGTGGAACTGACAAGTGACGTGTTTTCAGAACTTCATTTCTTCTTTTAGAAGGGATGACACATCACATCGATAGACTGCAATTTCCCTCTGGAAACAATTTCTACCATGGAATCTTCCAATGAGTTGTCTTCTCAGGCACAGGGAGCCTTTTGACACTGACATGCAAGTCTGAGTGTGAAGACTCCAAGGCTAAGAAGCAGGGTTGGCAACGTCTTGAGTCTGTAAAGATTTTGTCAGTCCAGTTTCCTGGGCAAAATGGGTTACATATATTGAAGTGACCCTGGTTGAAACTGAATCATCAAACAGGGCCAATTCTTCAAAACATTTTATATTACTGTATTAACAACAAATGCATGTTAGTGCCTATAAAAACTACAGTGAATGAGAAACCAAAGGCTGGCATTCCAGGCCTGTGACATTGTGTTGGCTCCCACAGACTTTCATGCATACAAAAGGTAAGTATTCTAACGCTGGTGAAAAATATCACCAGAACAGAGATGCCATGAATCTGAACCTTCAATTAAATAACAGAATTAGGAAATCCTGCCTGATGTGGTGGCCCATGCTTCTTAATCCCACACTAGGGAGGCAGAGATTCCAGGTCATCAAGAACTGTACAGTGAAACCATGTCAGAGAGAGAGAGACAGACAGAGAGATGTGGAGAGGGAGGGAAGGAGGAGGAAGAGGGGTAGGGGAAGAAACAGTATTACCAATTTTGGGCAAATTCTGGTTAAAAGTGCACTAGGAAAACAACAACAACAACAAAAAAAGAGAGGATACAGGAAGTCAGCTGATTTACAGCCAGTTAGATTTAATTAAGGTCATTTCCTCCTGCAGGAAACAAAACCATGGAGAAAAATCACCAAGTGTGATGATCTCCATGTGCAGATCTGCCAGCACAGTTCTGTAAACCACAGCTAAGAATGTCACTTCCCATAACTGTGACATTAACCTACTGACTGGGTCTCAGAAACAAAGCAATGACTCTGGGATATGTATACATATTTACATATATTACAGAACTGAATGGTTTCTTCAAGCCTAAGATATCACAAGTATAACATTTCATTCAGAAAAACAATTCTGATTGAATAATGACACACCACTAATTATAACGCTCAATTTCAAAGATGCTGAAATATGAAATAAAATGTCTCTAGTACAGTCAGTAAAATATGGATATCAGAATTCTGGTCCAAATACAGAACTGGCACAAATATCCCTATGAGACTACAGAGGATACCCACAGTTCATTCCAAATAGGTATGTGTTTATGATTACAGCAAGCAAGACTGAGAACCAGGTTTCATGTAACTTTGAAAAGTAGGCCATAATTCCTTTTATATCTTTCATTAAAAGGGTCAGAATACAATACACACTTGCCTCTGAACTGCTAATGATGTTCAGAGCCTATAAATTGAAAGCATTTCATGGAAGTGCCGGAACAGGGCCCAAGATCAACAGATTCTCTCCAATGCCCCTATGCTTGTCTGTGTTCTTCAGAATGAGTAAAATTGCATGAGCCACACTTCACTCTGACGTGAATGTGAAGTAGATCACAGGCACGGGCTCATACAAAAAGGTATGGACAATCAAATCATGATAGCATCCTAAAATTACTTTGGAGAAAGTCTCTGAGATACAAGTTCGACCACAGGTTGCTGAGTCTCATGTTAAGTATGTATCACTCAGATGAGTGATGTAGATGTGTAAAAATGCAATGAGAATATGGAGGAAATCCCAGAATTACTTTGCACATGACTTATCTTGTATTGAAGCATATTGAGTTACAATGGGGAACAAGTCGTAGAGGTGTTATGTTTATTAAACACAAGAGCACTAACTACCAATGTTAGCACAGTCCTTTCTTCCCTTGTGAGGGCAGTGGTGAATATGGTATTTTAAAGACACAGGGCCTCTGTTCATATGACACATGCTGAAGTAAGACTTAACTGTGCAGGCTCCATGTTCTCTAATCAAAGGTTGCACGTGTATATCAGAAAGCAGCTGTTACAGAATTATTACTCATATACTTCAGGCTGGTACAAATCTTTTATAAAGGCATTGTGAGCCATCTGTGGTTATTTTGTTGTAGAAGTGTTAAGTAGCTTGCATGCCCCAGCTGAAGTCAGTCTGGAAGGGAGAGAGGGCAGGGAGAGAGGGGTCACTGACAGGACAGGGTCCGGCAGACAGTTAGCTTTGACTGGAGTTAACTGGGTAGGAGGGACAGGAAGAGAACCCCCACAGGCACACCTTGGTCTCGGGTAGCACAGGCTGATGATGAATGCTGCCAAGGCTGACCTTGAACTCCTGACCCTTCCATCTCCATTTCCCAAGTGCTGGGATTATAGGCAGGTGCTACCTGACTAAGAGCAGCCTTTAAAGTTTTACAGCACAGAAGGGCAATTATAGCTAATATTCATTAGCTGTATATTTAAAATAGCTAGTAGAAAGAATTTTGAAAGCTATCAACACAAGGAAACAATAAATGTTTGAGGAGGCTGATGCCATTACCCTGGTCTGGTCATTACACTTGTGTTGAAATATTACAGTGTATCCCCAAAGAATGTGTAATCACATGTTAATAAGAAGAAACAGCCCTTCATCTGTGCAGAGCCGAGCACAATGCAAACAGGTGGTATTTACTGCATACAGTTCTACAGTCGCTGACATCTGCCAACATTGTCACTAGAAATAGTTGTATTTTAATCATGTTTTAAAAAGGAGTTAATCAAATGTAATGCATGCTCAAGTATAACAGAAAGGTCAAAAGTGGCACTGCTTAGGAGGGAACTAAGAAGGAAATGAGGAGAAAATAGAAGAAAGGTTCAAAGTGGATTAGGAAGAAGCCCAGGGCCACAACAGTGGAATCTTTGGGTTTTACAAATGCTAACGCGCTAGGCAAACAGTCTACCCCTGAACTCTAGCCCCAGACTGTCTGTTTGCCTATTTTTAAAGTTAGGGTCTTCTTGTAGAGCTCAGGCTGGCCTTGAACCTTCTACCTCAGTCACTTTAGCTCTGTTGTTATTGGTGTAGGCCACCATGCCTACCTGACCAAAGTGAATACTTTTGCCTGGAATGCTCTACCCTTCATACAGTAGATGCCTACCAGGGATCAGCAGCTGGTCAGCACTTCAGGAGTAAACACTCCTGCAACCTGGATAAGCACACACTAAGCAGCACTGGCATTTCCATAGTTTTCATCTCAAGTGCCCGAGGGTTTGTTTTTGTCCTCCTCTCTTACTCCTGCTCCCTTTCTCAGCTCCTGGTTCTTAGCTATTTTCCTGGTTGGGTTTTTGTTTGGTTTGTTTGTCAATTCCACACAAACCTAGACATATCTAGGGAGAGGAGATCTTAAGTGAAAATTGCCTCCTACGACTGGCCTATAGTGCATTGTCTTAGCTAATGTTTGATGCTTCTCCTGGGCACAAGTGGTCCTGGGTCACATAAGAAAATCAGGCTGAGCAAGTTATGGTGAGCAAGCCACTAAGCAGTGTTCCTCCATGGCCTCTGCATCAGCTCCAGGCTGACTTGCTTTGATGATGAACTGAAATGTGGAATTGTAAGCCAAAATAAACCCTTTGGCCCACAAGTTCCTTTTTTGGTTATGGTGTTTATCACATCAACAGAAACCCTATGACTGCTGCAGACTTGGTAATCTAACGACAACCTTTCCTTAGCAGTGGATAGAAAACAGGAAAACGTTCCATCTCAGATCTTTCTTTTCCCGTGACTTCTTTTGCTTTTCTTTTATTACATTCATTTATTTATGTGTATACGTGGGTGTTCATGGAAATCAGAATTTGGGGTAACTGGTTCTCGCCTTCCACCATGTGTCGGGTCCTCAAGATTGGCTGCAAGGGCCTTTACCTGCCTGAGCCATCAGTCAGACCTTTCTGAGACGTCTTTGCTGCTCCTTCCACTGTCACTATGTGGTCACCTGGGGAGGGGCTGACCAAGGGTATGTGAGTATATGTGATTTGGGTCATCCTGAAGCTTTTTGTTACCTTCTCTCCCAGTTTACCTTGGGTATAAAAGCTGTGGAAAAATAAACGTGGGTGATTTCAGGACCTGAATAATCCCTGAAACTCCCTCCTGATACTGTTTTGTAGTTTCTGTCTTTATTTTCCCATGCCCCTACCCTGGTAAAAAGTATTTATGTTGAGGCTGGTCCTCAACAGTGTCTGAAGAGGCTATTATATACCAGGGCCTCATCCCAGCCCCTGGCACCCATCTCTGGAATTCTGGGCAGGAAGCTCCATTTCAAGCCCCCTCCCCTGGGAGTTGCCTGGTCCAGACTCCACCTCTGGGAAAGCCCACGAAGCAGTGACCCCCTCCCCAGAGAGGTTCAGGACCACTCCCACAGGCTACTTAAACTGTCCCCCAGAGAATGTACATGTGCTCTCTGGGTTTAGCGTGGTCTCCCCTTTTCTCTCTCTTCCCCTTGCCATGTTTTCTCGTTGCCACCCGGGAGCACTGCATTAAACATGGGCATCTCTTATTCGGTCTAATTTGATCTGATTGGAATTACCTGCATCGGCCAAGAGGCTCGTTCTAGAAATATTCTTAACAGAGGCCAGAAGAGCAAGTCAGATCCTCTGTAACAGGAGTTTTGGACCATTGTTAGCTGCCACACGGTGCTCCTCAGGGAGCACTCTCAATGGCTGAGCCATCTCTCCAGTCTGTCTTGAAAGTCTTAGACAGTGTTGCATAATGCACGTCTCTTAGTAAGCATACAAAAATTTTGCCTTTTTCTGGGTTTTAGACAACTGAGCCAACTGAAGTGATCTTGTGATGAGTGAGAGACTTCAGCGGCATCTTACTTTGGCACCTCCAAGTGGAATCTAATCTCTGCTTGCTGTCGGACCAGAAG